ACACATGTAGCTTTTTCAAACACAATACCTCCATACACCCAAATATTAAGTTTACTGGTACAGATATATTAATGATACATCTAGAGAACACGCATGTAGCTTTTTCAAACACAATACCTCCATACACCCAAATATTAAGTTCACTAGTGAATATGAAAAAGATCAACAATTAGCATTTTTAAACCTCAGTATAACAAGAACAAATACACAGTTTCAAACAAAAATACACAGAAAAATCATTCATATTGAACTGTAAGTTCCCTGGAACTTGGCACATGAGAGACAACAAAAAACTTAAAATAGGAGAAAACCTAATAAACACAGCCACAAAACTTTGCTCACCATATAATATTTTTATTAATCTTGCATAAACAATTACAATAAAATAACAAATAAATATTCCACATCATCCTGAGTTATTTCTAAGTTGACATTAGATCTTACCTGACAACACCAAGCCTGATGATGATCGAGTTCTTTGTAATCGACATCCTCCTGTGTTGATTCCAGAGCTGACACTAGATCTAACCAGACTTGAGGTAAAAGAGTATCATAATGTATCCTTTTGGTTGGAATCGTTAGTGCTGCTGTGGCATTAATCCTCACTTTGTAGTTTCCACAGTTCCGTAAGCAAGAGCTCAGGGAACAAAGAATGTCAGCCTAAAGATAAAAGATCTTAGCTCCTGAAGACTTTTCTCTCATTATAAGAGTTCTACGGTAAGTTCTAGTTACAAAGTATTTGAAGCGAGAATACAAAAAATTTCTTTGCTACAAGGTTGTGGTTAAAGTTATCAAAAAATTACACCATTCAGTGAGGAATTGTTAAATAAACTGAACTTCAAGGATCTTGTCAGAGGTGGTGAAATAAATTTTATAATAGTAAATGTATAACAAACAAACATTTTACACAGACAATGAACTATAAATATAAATTACAGACATAAAGAGCAATTTTATAAGAGGAGGTTTCCATCACGCAAAGCTGTATTAGTAACACAGAAAGCAGGGTTTTAATCTATGCAGGTGTTGTTCGGTTCCCTTGTTGTTAAGCGCAAAGCTACGCAATGGACTATTTGTGCTCTGCCCGCCAAAATCTGACCGTTATGTCATAAACCCGCTGAGCCACAATGGGGCTAAACAGGTATAACGTTTTTTTGAGTTATTCTTGTTATATACACAACAGAGGTTTATCTTATTTCTGAAAGAGATTTAGAAATTTATGGGAAAATATTAATTCAAGTGAAAAAACAAAGGAAATTGTGACGTGTCGGACGCGTAGTGAAACACCAATTGGCTACCAGAGGGCACAATTACAAAAGCAACAGTAAGCATATTGGTGAAACAATTCCTTCAAACCAAAAGTATAGCAGTTAACATTACTAAAGAGCCCTCCAGGAGACAAATGGTGTGTTACAAAGTGTCTTTCTCATTTTATCTTTACAAGCCACTCTCCATGTATCTTTCAGTTTTCGTGATTGTCTAACAATACTGGGCAACATATGAAACACCTGTATATACAAAAAAGTCCTAATATCCATAAATCTCTAACATCGTGAAAATTAATATCATGAATTGAAGTTAACATTTCCCTCACCTGAAAATCCATTTCCGATAAATACTCATTTCGTCACACAGAATAGCTTCGGTCCTCTACCTTTCGTGCCGCTAACCTTGAGCTAATTCCCACCTAAGTACCACATGTTTAATGACATCATCATGCCACAATAGCCCTCCACAACATTATATAGAACAGTTACAGTAAGTAAAACAATGTTGTATGTAACATTATATAGAAAAACAATGTTTTATGTAACATTATATAGAACAGTTACAGTAAGAGGATCTGATTGAAACGTATAGAACAGTTACAGTAAGTAAAACAATGTTGTATGTAACATTATATAGAAAAGTTACAGTAAGTAAAACAATGTTTTATGTAACATTATATAGAACAGTTACAGTAAGTAAAACAATGTTTTATGTAACATTATATAGAACAGTTACAGTAAGTAAAACAATGTTGTATGTAACATTATATAGTACAGTTACAGTAAGTAGGCTACTTACTCCTTACATGGGCACTTGACTGCAGATTAATATTGATATTTTTTGCGATGTCGTTTTACCGATACTCATGTAAATTGTATAAAGAGATCTCAAAAATAATAGCAGCGTAGTTTTTCAAGTTGTTTTAAGAAAAAGACTAGTGGCAAATCTGAAGAGTAATTGACCACAATATTTTCACACTTTTGGATAGGTAAGGAACAAATTAAAATCTTTTGTAGTCAAGGAGTTGCCTCTCTTCTATCAAGCCTTCAAGCTACCATCATGAAAGTCAGGTGGAATGCTTGTTATGCCTTAGGTAATGCTTTGAAGAACGTTTACAATAAACCTGGGTATGTATTAGTATTGTTTACAACAAACCAGGGTATTTATTAGTATTGTTTACAACAAACCTGGGTATGTATTAGTATTGTTTACAACAAACCTGGATATGTATTACTATTGTTTACAACAAACCTGGATATGTATTACTATTGTTTACAACAAACCTGGGTATTTATTAGTATTGTTTACAATAAGCCTGGATATTTATTAGTATTGTTTACAACAAACCTGGATATGTATTACTATTGTTTACAACAAACCTGGATATGTATTACTATTGTTTACAACAAACCTGGGTATTTATTAGTATTGTTTACAATAAGCCTGGATATTTATTAGTATTGTTTACAACAAACCTGGATATGTATTACTATTGTTTACAACAAACCTGGGTATTTATTAGTATTGCTTGTCACAAAAAACTTTAAGTTATAAAAACAAAAACTTTTAAGAAATGAACACAAGTAATTTAGAACATGTAGCATCATGAATGTAATAAGGTGTTAATGTTTTACCTTTTAATTTTAAATGTCACTAACTCAGACACTGGTTGATCTTTTCCTTTGATTAACTACAGTAATTCCTGTCCAGGTGACAGATGTACCAGATACATTTTTGTTTTCTTTGGGAATGGCAGCAATTAAGGCTTGTCAGGATCGAGATAAGATCCGTGCAAATGGTGTTCGTGCTCTGGGGAACATTTTGAATTTTTTACCAGCATCATCACTGGGTATGTATTAATATTGTTTACAAGAAACCTGGGTATGTATTAATATTGTTTACAACAAACTTGGGTATTTATTAATATTGTTTACAACAAACCTGGGTATTTATTAATATTGTTTACAATAAGCCTGGATATTTATTAGTATTGTTTACAATAAACCTGGGTATGTATTAGTATTACTGATTTGGTAAAAAACAAGAAATTTCAAGATCAGCTAAATAGCCTAGCTAATATACATATTTTATATATTATGAGGCGGGAGGTGGAAAGTTAGTGGCGAGCTTTGAAAATTTGTGCCGAAAGAGGGCAGTACTAATCGAGAAAAGCTATTTTGTGAGACGAGGTAAGTATCTATTGGAAATACGTTTTCACTTTAGCTCTGATTGTAATCATTATAAATGATTTGTAAATTGCAATTAATACTTTCAGGTTTTCCCATTGTTCACATAGAAAATTTCTGTACAAGTAATGAGTCGTAATTATATTGCAGGGACTCGTGTCCAGACGAACAGGTGACAGATGATTGCAGGGACTCGTGTCCAGACGAACAGGTGACAGATGATTGCAGGGACTCGTGTCCAGACGAAGGAGGGGTAAGCCATGAGTTCACTTTCTCTCCACTGTCACCGGCTTGTCTCGACAGTTTCTCCCAGTTGTCTTTTTGACCCATTTCTTGTTTTCCTTACAATCCGATATATATTTAACACAAACACTACTAAAAACGAAACAAGGTTTTTTTCTTACCTAGAGATTAATAATGCGTCAGTCAGGTTACCAAGTGACCACGAAGCTTTAAACCGAACGATAAAATA